TCGTTATCTTGTTGTCGTTGATTATAAAAACAGAATAAAAATACTTTTTTAAAATCACTTTTTTTCCCATATCGAATCCAGAACATTCATATTTCTCTTCATTCGTCTCGAGGGACTTTACAACCCAATTCCATATATCCAAGTAATTCATTCCTCATTCCAATTTTTTTCACCTAGAAGGATAAGATTGCAACGTAATTTCAGTTTAAGTCTTGATTTTGAATGAGACATTAGAACATTTCTATCTAACTACTTTCCTTCAAAAAGAACATAAATTATCTCTCCTTAGTGTTCTATGTTCCTCAATTAATTTACAAATTTCCGAATTTTTACACAACCATTTACTTTTTATGATTTTCGTTTAGTAGTATTCAGATATGCACAAAATTACGTTCTTGTATACAGATTAATCATTTGCGTTATTTTTCGTATTCCTTTGAGCAAATATTAGATAATATCTATCTTACAATCAAGTTACTCGCACAAAATTTTGTTGTTGTTAGACTAACATCGTAATGATTTTTATTTTCATATCGTTTACTTAATTTTTATGAGATACAGTACCAAAACTATACTCAAAATATACCATCAATACAAATTTCATATCTGTATTAACAATTCTCGTAAGCCATTAGCAATTTTCCAAACTCTTCAAGACGGTTAAGGGTGCGCCTGGGAGGATCATGTAAACTTCAGAATTTAGAACCTTAATTTTTAAGCAATAACTTGGTACCTAAATAGGTAGGAAAACTCTAAAAATATCAAAAAATACAACTTGGCTCCATAATAATCCTGTCATGGTGGCTGTTTGTATCCCCTAGTATTTTCCTCTTGAATCTCTTTTTCTGTCGAAATTAAATTCAAATCTCAGAAGTAGAAGTGAATAATCGACTTATTACTGCTATTATACGAATAAATAAATTCATTATATTATTTTTATTTACATAATATCTGTTTGAAGTCCATAATTCTATAAATTTTTCTTCAAAAACATTACAATCTTGATAGTTTTGATACTGTTTAATAGGTTTTTGGCACCTTATTTAGTATTTACTACGTATAGAGTCGATCTGAACTTAATTTTCGGAAATTTAAAATATTTATTATAAGTAAAATCTGATTTGAAATTTATGTTTAACTACTCATATCTTGCATTATCCTGAGTAGCTTTTGTAAAAATTCATCAAAAAAGATTTTAACGTGCTTTAATTTTTATTTTTTAAAATAATGCATATTATTATATAACTAGAATATTTACAAATTTTAGTGCTTTCAAAAATTTAATCCTCCTCCTCTCAAATAAACGTACATTCGGGTGGCCTGTTTTTTGCAAAAAATAAAATTTCATTTTTTATGCTTAAAAAGTCAGAATTTTTATTTGCTTCTGGGATATATGATGGCTATATCAGATGCCCATTCTTTTTGATACTCAACATTAAACATAAAACTTAGCCGTTAAGGCTCTTCTGAAAATATTTTTTTTTCCGAAAAATTTTTCGAAAAAAATCAAAAAATTTAAAAATCCCCGAATCTGCAAGGATTTTAAAAAATTCTTTTTAGTAAAACTTAAGGATATTGTATCAGATATATTGGTATGGGCAAATTCAATTTTAATCCAATATTCATCGAGATATTAAGTTAACGAAGCTTTCAAAATTGAGAGGGTAATCCTCCTCCTCTCAAATAAACGTACATGCGGGTGCACCCTTAATCCACTTACCGATACATACGAATTCACATCTTACATTCTTTTTAAAATACGTTTAGATTACATTTTATTTTTTTCGATTTGAAACTTATTGAAATACTAAACGTTCAACTAAGATATTCGTCGAAATTGAGCACACCTGTATTGATCACAGCTTTATCGTTTTACAACTATAAGACTACAAAATTCTCCTTTTTGCAAAAAGGAAGATTATTTTTTTTTATTTCTTTTTCTCGAAACAGTTTTAAGTTCAGTAATTCAATAAAAGTTTAATTTTATCGTTGCTTTATTTAATACATATTTATTGCTTTCTATTGTTTCATTTGAAATTGTAGATGAAAATGAGCATAATTCAAAAAACATGTGCTTTTCTAAATACAAGAAACCATTTTGAAAATCTATTTTCCTTGATATTCGCAAAAATAATTATAAATCTTTCCCTGTTTTGAAATATCACTCACAACACGTTAATATGGCCGAAAATCTCTTACAACGCATTGTTTCTTGTATTTTGCTGCTTGATGAAAATTATTTTCGACGTTCAATCAAGAATTCTGAATTTAAGTGCACCTGAAGAAACGCCATGTAGCATATATAAAATTAACTTTTACAAAAAGATTTATTTTGATTGTCATTCACTATAAAGAAAATCTTTATCTCAAAATATTTGAAATAAGCTCAGAATTTCTTAATGATTTTGTATTGAATTTGATTTTGAGAAGAAATTTTAAATATATTAAGGGTTTCGTTTTGCTAAAATTGTCACTTTTATAGCATATTTGTTTTTGGATGTTTTGCGAAACCAAAAAAAAAAACTATGATATACAATGTGTGTGTAAAGAAAATACTTTATTTACTAGTTAAAAAATCATTTGGTATTGATCAAGTTATTTTTTCTGGATAAGATATTATATGGATAATTGGATAGAAAATACAATTATATAATCTTGTACCTGGTTTAATTAAGCTAATTGTCATCAGAAACTTGTAATTTTTATGAATTTCAGATTTTCTTTTCATTACTGCTTTTCTTAATAGGTCAAGTTCTTATTTACGTTATAAAGTATGATATTTACAAATATCAAGTTATCATGTTTTTTGAGAAATTATGAGAAACAAACAAAAATGAAAAAGATAGGAATAGCAATGAATAGTGATGTGGGTATAGAAAATGTAAGAGATATGAATGCAAAGCAATCAGTATTTAGGATATTGACCATAGATTTCGAAAAAAAAATGCTGCATATTGAGCGAAAACTATGATTATATTATAAGGCTGTCATTTAAAGCATAATGAAACTATTCCCTTTTCATTTTAATCGAATAAGATAGTAAAGATTTTTGAATTAGCTAGAAACTGATGAGATGTTTTCACAAATCAGATTTTTAATCTCTATAATGCATAATTCACTCAATATCTCAATTTTGATATTGCGAGATATTTTTGCTATCGGTTTAGCAATTTTGACACAATAGCAAGAGGGTTCTATAAGCATTATTATCAACGTAGAATCTGAATATCATATCAGAAAATGTCGCAAATCTGACATTTATCCGACCAAATAGCAAAAATAATTGAATACTTTTCGCAAAAACTTTAAAAATCGATAAAAATATGAAATATAGATATTAAAGAGACTTTTTATATAATATTCATAAAGATTTTCCAAAAATATGATACCGCAAAATTAAAAAAGTGACGTCTTGAGTGGAGTCAAAGGTCGAAATTGCTAGCTAAATGTTTTTTTTAGCGAAATTGCGTATTGTACGTTTTTTTCGCAAAACGAAACCCTTAAATATATTACAAGATATTTATAAATCATTCAAAATAAAACAATATGAAAATTAACGATAATAATCAAAAGTTTAATAAAAGATATATTTCCAACTTTAGAACCTAAATATCGGCATTTACAAATATTTCATTGAATTAAAAAACGATTAATTTTAAAAGAAAAACTCCTATTCAAATGAACCCGTAATAAAATACTTTCGATCATAAACATAAATAAAACTATATATCTTTCAACTTTCTTAAATTCGATTTAGTTTTTGGTTTTCAATTTAAATTGAATTCCGATAAATACCATACTCTATTCTTATCAAAACTAACGATTTTAATATTTTTAAAAGTAACAATTTAGACGTCAATTCAATATTTTATTTTTTGAATTTCCTCACAAATTTCAAATCTTATATCCCTCTCTTCATACCCACTTATTTTTTCATTATTTTTCTGCTAGAAATGCCCAATATGGAAACAAGAATCCAAATTTCGATAAATTTATGTCATGGCTTCAATTTCAGCCGTGATTTAGATTTAATCAATTTGTTTTGAGTGTGGGACAAACTATCCAGTGTCACTTTTTTATTAACCTTATTTTAAAAAATTAATAAAATAATAATAAAAAATTATTTGAATCTTTTACATTAATTGTTTCTTTTTTAAAAGTACCTTTAAAGTACAATAAACAAGATTTGAATCTATTGATCCTTGTTGCAAACTTGAATATATTGCTTCAAGCATTTTCAAACATTCGACTTTTTTGTTTTCCAATATTTGTTCATGGTCATTAGCTTTTCGTAATATACGAACAACTTTATCACTATTGATTAATTGAACTTTAAATTTAATCAATAATGCTGGAACAACCGTTGTGTATAATTCAACAACAAAATCGTCTAATCGAATATTCCTTCTCTCTGGGAAATAAGAATGCTTGAGAACTTTGAAATGTGACTCACTGACGTTATTAGTCGCGTCACCTCCGTTGCGATAGCGCTTATTCCAACGATCTAAATGATGCCTCCATTGCCTATCGAAGTACTTTTGGGCTTTCGGTTCAGTGGAAAGAATTTCAAGAATTCGATCATAAACTGCATCTAGGTCTGCAGCTTCTTCTTGAGTGAGGTGCTCTGGAACTTCTTCACTTGTTTCAAACGTTTCTTCTTCTGGAATAAATTCAGAATCGTTTGGATCATCAGAAGATTCTCGTGGTAAAAAGATTTGAGAAGGTTGAAATTCATTTTCGATGAATTCTTCTTCATATTGTTCCTCTTCTTCAATTTCTTCTGCTTGAAGTAAGTGAGATTGAGCTGGTTCCTCTCTAGGATTTTCTTCTTCTTGGTTCTGTTCTTTCTCGGGAGATTCTTCTTTAGTATCGAATACTAATAATTTCATTAGATTATAAAATTCTTCAAAATTGTCTCGTGATTTAAACTTATCCGCTTTTCTTAATATGGCGCGAAGGACATGCACGCCACACCAAAGAATATGACAGTTTGGAATACCTCGCTCAATTGCCTCGGCTATTTGTGGGGCGCAGTCCATACTTATCATCTCGGGTTCTCTATTAATATATTGAAAATAACGACAAACACAATATTGAATATTTTCGCTTGTGTCAGGAGAAATAAAGAAATACAAAAAAGGAAAAACAATAGTATGTTCTGTTTTTCCTGTGAGTGCATATAATGGAATGTTAGCCCTTAGAAGTTTATACGTTGAATCGATGTGAAACGTAGAAATTTGGTGACCAAGGGCCTTCGCTTCGAAAGGTGCATATAAAAAAACTAGTTTTCCCGGCTCAGAGATAAATTCAATTAAATCTTCTGGACAACTTTCTTGAACAGATTCGACAAAGATAGCTAAAGAAACTTTTTCATCCGAACTAAAGCGTTTGGAAACAATTTCAGCTCTTTGAGCAAATTTACGTAATGCATCTGGACCTTGTGCAAATATTGAAAGTAACTCTTCGTCTGTATATGAAATATTTAAGTCTTGGAAACACTTAAGTTGAGCTGTAGCATGATTCATATTGTTTTCAAAGTAATGTTTAAGATAATTTCTGACAAATAATGAGGATATTGTTTTTGTTGATTTCGGAGGTGCAGAATGATCATGAGAGTCAGAGTGGATTAGTAGTTCATATTTATCTTGATCTATTATCCGGACTTTGAATTTAGCTTGACATTGTGGATACTTACATTTGTATTCGATCGTGGAGTATTCTTTCCTGCATTTTTGAGAGTAGCCCATGCTAGCTTTTATCTCTTCTTGGATACCAAACTGGAGGAGCTCCATAGTGTTGAATATCACGGGCTCCATACAACAAATTGAATAAGGTATTTCAAAATTTGAAGGAAATGGTCCATCATTGAATGTAGTGGCCGGGAATTGAATGACATACAGATAGTTTGAGGAAATTTGTTATAAATTATAATATAATTGAAGAATTAATTATCAAAACAAGTCTAAGAGCCATTTGTCAGATTTTCCCGAAATGCAAGGTTAAGATTTTAGCAGCGACTAACTTTGAGTGTACATATATAATTGTTATACTGAGTACTTTCTATCTGTGTTACTTATTTGAGTCTAAGAGCCATTAGTCAGATTTTCCCGAAATGCAAGGTTAAGATTTTAGCAGCGACTAACTTTGAGTGTACATATATAATTGTTATACTGAGTACTTTCTATCTGTGTTACTTATTTGAGTCTAAGAGCCATTAGTCAGATTTTCCCGAAATGCAAGGTTAAGATTTTAGCAGCGACTAACTTTGAGTGTACATATATAATTGTTATACTGAGTACTTTCTATCTGTGTTACTTATTTGAGTCTAAGAGCCATTAGTCAGATTTTCCCGAAATGCAAGGTTAAGATTTTAGCAGCGACTAACTTTGAGTGTACATATATAATTGTTATACTGAGTACTTTCTATCTGTGTTACTTATTTGAGTCTAAGAGCCATTAGTCAGATTTTCCCGAAATGCAAGGTTAAGATTTTAGCAGCGACTAACTTTGAGTGTACATATATAATTGTTATACTGAGTACTTTCTATCTGTGTTACTTATTTGAGTCTAAGAGTCATTTCTACCATAGAACTAGATATTGTCTCTCATTAAATATATATAACTGTAAACTGCTTAATTCATTTATCTATTTAGATAAAATTATATTTATATAAGATTTCATGTTATTATTTCATCTTTATTATTTTTTTATTCCTTTGAAAAGTGACACTGGATAGTTTGTCCCTTTCTCATTTGTTTTCATATATATATTGATTAATCACACTATCTCCCAAGGAACCTGATCATAAAGAATCAATCTGTTCGATTGCTCTTATTTTTAGTTTTTGAAATACCTTACATAAATTGATTCATATAATTTTTATGTCGATTTTATTTTCTTACGGGTCTCAATTCTTGAATAAAGAATACCGTAACAAATTAAAATAGATAGACCACAATATCTTTTATATATATCTCAATCAAAATCTTCAAAAAGACAACATTTTTTACTTTTTTAAAAGATTACCCGGAATTCGCAATTTTCGAATTAGAATTAGTTTTATCTCTTGATTTTATTCCGAAATACCCAATGATATCCAATAATAAAAATATTATTTTTCGATTTTATGATTAATAGTCCATTTTCTCATGATTTTTATCTTATTAATACCTAAGATACAACGCTCATCTATATCACATTCTTACATCCTTCCATTTTTCAACTAATTCCTTTGTTTTCAAAAACAATGCTAGGAAATAAAAGTTCTTTTTTGTATTTCCTATTATTATCATGATTGCAAAAAGGTTTGTACAAGGATTTTCGAGCAGTTACCTTTATACAACGATTTCATATTCAAATATAAATAAAATATATCATTTTGTAAACGAGAATGCCCATTTGGATCTTACATATTATGTAATTCATAAAATGAAATACCAAAAAGATATATTTAAACTTCATTTTCTAGGAAAATTTCATATATTTATAGGCATTCTATATATCGAACTATATTTAACTCCGCTTCTGTCAACTAATACTAATATCCTACATTACAAATTACTTTATATAGAGTTTATTATTAATATATTAATAATTTACTCAATAATATCACTCCGGCTTGTTATTGAATAATCATTTTGTTCTAAAACAAAACAAATATACTAAATTATTTATTAAAAAATGAAAACAAATACTTTAATTCTCATGGAAGTTAAGGAGGCAAGATAAATCCATAGGATCAAATGTGGAAGATGGGAGATCCATTTTTGAGTTCAAAATCTGATTCAACTCAGTCTCAACTTTTCTTGATCTCCTCTTAAATATCTTTTTTGCATCATTTTTCTTTTCATCTAAAATCTTGGTTACTAAAGACTAGTTTTCAGCATACCAACATAGCATAGCCTTGCGGTTCCTCTTTGCAAGTCTATCAAGAGGAACATGATACTTCTGCTCAACGATCTTTGCAATCGATGTTAAAATTTCAATATTAACATGAGTGCCAAAGAACTTGTCAACATAGGAGTTCACGAAGTCAACCTTTGATCCCATGTTTACTATTCTCTTCTGGATCTTTTCATAGTCACGCTGGGACTGGGCAGTAAGTCTCTTGCACTTTGGGTGGGCATCAACATGTGGAAGATTAAAGTACTGTGTACTCTGAAGCATCATGTCTTTAATCAATCTTATCAAAAAATGATTTTCTGAACTTATGAAAATTTCATAATTAGAAAATTCGTTTTCAGTAACGGTAATCATACATATCTAATCATAATTTCGTTTCTTAATTTTTAACAAGTTGAATTCTCATACCTTTGTTTATTTTCTCAGGTATATTGAATTTTCCCTATTCAAATACAGAATTCCAACACTCTGAATTGCATTGGGAAGTATTCTTGCAGTACTCATTTCTGGAAGTAAAAATAACAAAGAATTTATATGAGATCATTACGACTTATCTCAAATTTAAATTGACAAAGCTTTTGAAAATATAAATACGAAAATAACACGAATATTTCTGCCAGTACCCTCTCCTTGGACTCAATAATATTTCTTAATTAAAAGCCCTTTTGCTCATGTGCAAGATTAAACTTGTTCCATTCAAAATTTTACGATTGATTTTTCTTTATGGTCTCTGGAAATAAATGAGTTTTAACTTTGTTTTCGGAATTCAGAAATGATTTAAAATAGGAATATATTATGTTTGAATCATGTTTTATTCCCAGAAATATTCAAGCAATAAAATATACTGAGGGGTATTCTGCAGCAGTTGATCTGCATCATTGTTAACTTTTCACTAAATTATTTTAATTGAATATTGTAATCCTAAGAAAATCCTTTACCTACTAAGAAAATAACCCAATTTAAATATCGAAAAATTTATAGTAACAAAGAGAATAAACCCCATATATAATACTTTTCCGGATTAAGTGGATATTTCAATTGAGTCTTCTTGTTTTATTAAAATGGTTTCTAATGGTATAATATAACATTTATTATCTCAGGGAAACAAGCAAATTACACGCCAACTTAAAATATTTCAATTTCAATTTATTTTCATGCGCAAATAACTCAGCCATTGATCTATATGTATCTATTACGTATGGGAAACATCAAAAAACTCTAATTTCTTCGACATGAACTATCTATGAAGCATATGTCATCTCAAAAGAAAAAGATTTTAAAAATATTTACTTTCGAATTGACATTGTTCATTTTTGATCAGGAAACTAATGCAACAACATTTGGTCCAATAAAATAGAGTCAAATTTTGAATTGACATATATTTAGCGGATTTGTGACCAAATAATTTCAATGCGAAATTCAATGAGAGTCAAAAATTGAGAGAAATTGAATTTATCATTTGAGAGGAAAATTTGTATATTTCAAAACTACATGATTTTACAATAATATTAGATGACTGTATACATCAACATAGGCAAGAACATTAAAAAATCTATATCTAATCATCAAAATTCAACTTTATCATTTTTTTCTTATGTAAAATTTACAGTAAAAGATTATATAACAATATAATCAGAATTATAATGGATATAACTGTCTATTCAATGTAGTAAAACATGTTGCCCCCAAAATTTCGCCACTTTAACACATTTGATTGTTAAAAGACTATCGATTTCTGAGATTATCCATGCATTATTGTGATGAATTAAAGTTTAATTATATAAATGGGACTTAAATATGGGAAAATAAAAGGATTTAACGGAAGATTTGTTTTGAATTTATAAAATTATTGAGATTACTGGCCAATTTCTTCATGCATCAATTAAAAATGAAGATACAATATGATAGTCAGCGTTATCCAAAATAATTTTATACTTTTTATATTCTTATATCGATTATACCAATCTGAATTAAATCAATATGCCGTTATAGGAATACTTCATATATTATTTGCTTATTGTAATCAGCTATAATAAACAAGAATTCCCTTTATTTTTGGAAAAATGATTTTATTATTCAAATTAGTAAGAGGAAATAATGAATTTAGCCTAGTTCCACTCCATATATATCATTAATGCTTCAATATCCTTCCAATGTATTGAATTCAGGGTTGAGAATGAAATATTTACGAGAATTGTGGTCAATTTAATTTTTGTGATAGTTAGCTAATAACAAAAATTTGAATGACAGACTTATTTGCTAGATATAAAGCGAATAATAGTAATCTACTAATCAAATATTAGGATATTTATTGATTAAATACCTTAACAAACGCAATTTAAGCCCCAATTTTTCTGAATCTTCTTCTCAACTTCTTTGTCAAAAATTTGAAAAGTTTGAGCAAAAATACAAACCGAAAAAATGAGAATTAATTCATGCCTTTCTTGTAAATCTCTCTGATTGGTCCTAATTAGTATTATTCACTTGTTTGGGGCGAAATTAACGAATTGATTTCTTTATGTTCAATTTTCATAGCCTTTCAAATGCCATCTTATATTTTATTTCGGACTTTATTTTCTCATTACGATATTAATTAAGCTGTTATAAAGCATACAAGTGAAACAATTGGTTGACGTTAAGGTTCATTAAATTGAGAGGAATAGATTAATTCAAAATATAAACAATTCAACTAAATTAGATGTCTCATTTTCATTTTGAACCTTAATACATTTATTCTACTTGATTTTTCTTTCTAGTTTATACAATTCAGAGTGTCCGAACAAACAGCAGATTGAATATTCCCAAATTTACCGGCCCGAGACCAGTAAAGGGAGTATTTAGTTAATTTAACAGAGTAATGCATTGTCAAGATAAAGGGCCCATCATTCATTTATTCACAAACCTAATCAAATTATTGTGTGAAAACCGTAATTTCATCTTGATTTTATAAATCTCTTCTTCACTGATCCAAAACAAGCTTGTTTAACAATTAAAGAGAAAATTCATACAGAGAACTCATTTGTACATCGTTCCAAAGCAGAAAACAATTCGAAAATCATAATAGATGAGATTTTTGATATTTAATTTCAGTTTTTATATCAAATAAAAGTCAATCAATCAAAAGTCGTATTCTTCAACTCTATGACAGATAAAATACTCATTTATTTAACTATTCTCCATTTTTAAAACACAATTTTTTTGTGGCAAAAAAACCTAAAGCCAAAGTGAAGAAGAGACCAAATTTATAAATCAATGTTTCCTAACATGGCTAGGCGTCCGATCATTTAACTACTTTTTTACTTTTTAAAAATTTTTTTTTTAGATATTAATATCCACTAAAGAAGAGAAACAAAATTGATATGTCAATCCATGATTTAATTCGTAAGAAAACATTTAATTACCAAAAAACAACTTTTTATTTAATTTTTTTATCAAAACTATGAGTTTGATATAAATCCCACAAGCATTTAATTCAAATATTATAGATCATTAAGGAACCATATCCAGGATTTTTTAAATAACAATTTAATTTAATTTTACTTATTCATGATAAAATACTCTCATTTCGTATAATTAATTTGAATAATTCAAGGGCATCCTTATTTCCTATTAAAAAAGAGGTCCAAAAAAGGCTATCAAAAATTACAGGCTTTTTCAATTGAATTTGCGTTAGTTCAAAAGATATTTTTGACATTTGCTATTTTTAAAATCTTAAAACATTTATTCTCAGTAACAAGCCATGATAAAAAAGGGCTACTTTTCATCTAAAAAATTTTTGAATATATCTTTCAATTTTTTTAGGATTCAGAACAAAGCGGTTTTACGTTAGAAATTTGATAACTGGTCTTTTTGATTGCATATATTCTCCATATGGGTATTTAATAAAAGGGAAATATCGCTTGGATCGAAGTATCCACAATATTCCTCACATTTGTAGATACATCTTCCGTTTTGATCATCAAATTCGTTATTAGATTCATCTGATTTGTCACCAGATTTGGATTTTTTCTCCTTTAAATAGGGGTGAATGATGTCCCAATTCTCCGTAAACCAACAAAGGAGAGCAGATCTGTTTCTTCGAGCTAATCTGTCAAGTTTAATTTTGTGTTTTTCAATAATTACATTTGCAATTGATATGAGCATCATCGATGTTACATGAGAACCAAAGTACCTGTCTATATACGATGCAACATATTCAACTTTTTCACCATTGAACTTTATTCTCCTTTGGATCTTTTCATAATCTCTCTGGCATTGGGGTGTCCGTTTCCTATGCTTCAATGCTGGATTTGCGTAGCTGAGGTAGCTCACTGTTCTCTGCGACATTGAAAATAAATAATGAATTTTTTTTTCAAAACTACAATTGAATTAATTAATTTCATCCACTTTTGTGAAATATTTTATTGTACTATGTATTATTAACAACTTTGCCGATAAACATTATTTTTATATTTCTTCATCAAATGCAAAGAACGATTGTTATAGACCGAAAATAGATTTTTTCGGTTTTCTCTTCAAATAATTGAAAGAATGATACTATTATAGGTTTATTATATTATATAGCATATAATCATGCTATAGCAGAAAATTATAAGTTTTGAGAAGATTGAATATAACACAAATAAATTTGAAGGTAAGTTAAATTGCTTGTTGTTTTTAATGGCTATTTAATGAGAAATCCAATATTGCAAAATTCAAATTGAATGATTGAAAGAACAGAAAAAGTCATTCAATTCAATTTCGAATATGTTTCATTGTATTTATAATTATTTGGCAAATAAGATATTTAAACTTGATTTTTGAAGGAAAATTCACAAAATTGAATGAATTCAAATAATTTTTATTCAAAAATAAACTAGTTATTTGAGTTTAATACTAATTATCTATTCAAACTACAAAGTTTGTAATTTAAAATATTTTGTGAGATCAGATTGAATTAATTCAAGGTTCTTTTTAATTAATATTCATGACCATATTACGCATTTTCGAACATTCTAAACCAAATATATAAAAATGGGAGACGAATGTTAAATTTGCTAGACATGGGGGAGTTGTCTGCAAAGTTTTAGCTCTTATCTCTAACAAAAAATTAATTTTTAAAAAAAAGACCGAATACGTTTCGCAGCGAGAAAAAAATAAAAGGCAAGATAGAATTTTCTAGACATAAAGAAGTTGTTTACCGAGTTTTAGCTCTTATCTCTAACAAAAATTAATTTTAAAAAAAAGACCGAATACGTTTCACAGCGAGAAAAAAAAAAGGCAAGATAGAATTTTCTAGACATAAAGAAGTTGTTTACCGAGTTTTAGCTCTTATCTCTAACAAAAAATTAATTTTTAAAAAAAAGACCGAATACGTTTCACAGCGAGAAAAAAATAAAAGGCAAGATAGAATTTTCTAAACATAAAGAAGTTGTTTACCGAGTTTTAGCTCTTATCTCTAACAAAAAATTAATTTTTAAAAAAAAGACCGAATACGTTTCACAGCGAGAAAAAAATAAAAGGCAAGATAGAATTTTCTAGACATAAAGAAGTTGTTTACCGAGTTTTAGCTCTTATCTCTAACAAAAAATTAATTTTTAAAAAAAAGACCGAATACGTTTCACAGCGAGAAAAAAATAAAAGGCAAGATAGAATTTTCTAGACATAAAGAAGTTGTTTACCGAGTTTTAGCTCTTATCTCTAACAAAAAATTAATTTTTAAAAAATGACCGAATACGTTTCACAGCGAGAAAAAAATAAAAGGCAAGATAGAATTTTCTAGACATAAAGAAGTTGTTTACCGAGTTTTAGCTCTTATCTCTAACAAAAAATTAATTTTTAAAAAAAAGACCGAATACGTTTCACAGCGAGAAAAAAATAAAAGGCAAGATAGAATTTTCTAGACATAAAGAAGTTGTTTACCGAGTTTTAGCTCTTATCTCTAACAAAAAATTAATTTTTAAAAAAAAGACCGAATACGTTTCACAGCGAGAAAAAAATAAAAGGCAAGATAGAATTTTCTAGACATAAAGAAGTTGTTTACCGAGTTTTAGCTCTTATCTCTAACAAAAAATTAATTTTTAAAAAAAAGACCGAATACGTTTCACAGCGAGAAAAAAATAAAAGGCAAGATAGAATTTTCTAGACATAAAGAAGTTGTTTACCGAGTTTTAGCTCTTATCTCTAACAAAAAATTAATTTTTTAAAAAAAGACCGAATACGTTTCACAGCGAGAAAAAAATAAAAGGCAAGATAGAATTTTCTAGACATAAAGAAGTTGTTTACCGAGTTTTAGCTCTTATCTCTAACAAAAAATTAATTTTTAAAAAAAAGACCGAATACGTTTCACAGCGAGAAAAAAATAAAAGGCAAGATAGAATTTTCTAGACATAAAGAAGTTGTTTACCGAGTTTTAGCTCTTATCTCTAACAAAAAATTAATTTTAAAAAAAAAGACCGAATACGTTTCACAGCGAGAAAAAAATAAAAGGCAAGATAGAATTTTCTAGACATAAAGAAGTTGTTTACCGAGTTTTAGCTCTTATCTCTAACAAAAAATTAATTTTTAAAAAAAAAGACCGAATACGTTTCACAGCGAGAAAAAAATAAAAGGCAAGATAGAATTTTCTAGACATAAAGAAGTTGTTTACCGAGTTTTAGCTCTTATCTCTAACAAAAAATTAATTTTTAAAAAAAAGACCGAATACGTTTCACAGCGAGAAAAAAATAAAAGGCAAGATAGAATTTTCTAGACATAAAGAAGTTGTTTACCGAGTTTTAGCTCTTATCTCTAACAAAAAATTAATTTTTAAAAAAATGACCGAATACGTTTCACAGCGAGAAAAAAATAAAAGGCAAGATAGAATTTTCTAGACATAAAGAAGTTGTTTACCGAGTTTTAGCTCTTATCTCTAACAAAAAATTAATTTTTAAAAAAATGACCGAATACGTTTCACAGCGAGAAAAAAAATAAAAGGCAAGATAGAATTTTCTAGACATAAAGAAGTTGTTTACCGAGTTTTAGCTCTTATCTCTAACAAAAAATTAATTTTTAAAAAAAAAGACCGAATACGTTTCACAGCGAGAAAAAAATAAAAGGCAAGATAGAATTTTCTAGACATAAAGAAGTTGTTTACCGAGTTTTAGCTCTTATCTCTAACAAAAAATTAATTTTTAAAAAAAAGACCGAATACGTTTCACAGCGAGAAAAAAATAAAAGGCAAGATAGAATTTTCTAGACATAAAGAAGTTGTTTACCGAGTTTTAGCTCTTATCTCTAACAAAAAATTAATTTTTAAAAAAAGACCGAATACGTTTCACAGCGAGAAAAAAATAAAAGGCAAGATAGAATTTTCTAGACATAAAGAAGTTGTTTACCGAGTTTTAGCTCTTATCTCTAACAAAAAATTAATTTTTAAAAAAAAGACCGAATACGTTTCACAGCGAGAAAAAAATAAAAGGCAAGATAGAATTTTCTAGACATAAAGAAGTTGTTTACCGAGTTTTAGCTCTTATCTCTAACAAAAAATTAATTTTTAAAAAAAAGACCGAATACGTTTCACAGCGAGAAAAAAATAAAAGGCAAGATAGAATTTTCTAGACATAAAGAAGTTGTTTACCGAGTTTTAGCTCTTATCTCTAACAAAAAATTAATTTTTAAAAAAATGACCGAATACGTTTCACAGCGAGAAAAAAAATAAAAGGCAAGATAGAATTTTCTAGACATAAAGAAGTTGTTTACCGAGTTTTTAGCTCTTATCTCTAACAAAAAATTAATTTTTAAAAAAATGACCGAATACGTTTCACAGCGAGAAAAAAATAAAAGGCAAGATAGAATTTTCTAGACATAAAGAAGTTGTTTACCGAGTTTAGCTCTTATCTCTAACAAAAAATTAATTTTTAAAAAAAAGACCGAATACGTTTCACAGCGAGAAAAAAATAAAAGGCAAGATAGAATTTTCTAAGACATAAAGAAGTTGTTTACCGAGTTTTAGCTCTTATCTCTAACAAAAAATTAATTTTTAAAAAAAAGACGCGAATACGTTTCACAGCGAGAAAAAAATAAAAGGCAAGATAGAATTTTCTAAACATAAAGAAGTTGTTTACCGAGTTTTAGCTCTTATCTCTAACAAAAAATTAATTTTTAAAAAAAGACCGAATACGTTTCACAGCGAGAAAAAAATAAAAGGCAAGATAGAATTTTCTAGACATAAAGAAGTTGTTTACCGAGTTTTAGCTCTTATCTCTAACAAAAAATTAATTTTTAAAAAAAAGACACGAATACGTTTCACAGCGAGAAAAAAATAAAAGGCAAGATAGAATTTTCTAGACATAAAGAAGTTGTTTACCGAGTTTTAGCTCTTATCTCTAACAAAAAATTAATTTTTAAAAAAAAGACCGAATACGTTTCACAGCGAGAAAAAAATAAAAGGCAAGATAGAATTTTCTAGACATAAAGAAGTTGTTTACCGAGTTTTAGCTCTTATCTCTAACAAAAAATTAATTTTTTAAAAAAAGACCGAATACGTTTCACAGCGAGAAAAAATAAAAGGCAAGATAGAATTTTCTAGACATAAAGAAGTTGTTTACCGAGTTTTAGCTCTTATCTCTAACAAAAAATTAATTTTTAAAAAAAAGACCGAATACGTTTCACAGCGAGAAAAAAATAAAAGGCAAGATAGAATTTTCTATACATAAAGAAGTTGTCTACCAAGTGTCAGCTGTTACTTCTTCTCAATACTGAGTAGTATATGTTGAAGGGTTGTGTGACTTTTTTTGTAAACGTAAGAATTCATACAATATAGAACGATTTTGTATCATTTATTTTAACATATGAAGTAAAAAATGTATGATTCTTACGGTTTTTATTCTTACGTTTTTGAATAAATCAAGATTTAAAAAATTTTCAAAATTGTAAGAAAAAAAAAAAAAAAAAAAAAAAAAAGGTACTGGGGCTTCCAGGCGCGTTGCGCCCTCTAGCCCCCGGAGAAATCTTTAGTCTTAAATTGTTTTTTTATTCGGTATATTCTGAATCTTGAATGTCTTGGAAATTTTCTTCTTCTTCGCTCTCTGAGGTGAGAATTTCTTCGACTTCTTCTTCTTCTTCGCCATTGGGAGCAACAAATCCTGCGATGAAAACTTTGTATATACCTTCTTGAGGAGTCTCTATGATGAAAGTCGTATTGTTGAGGAAATGGAACTCGACATCTTGAACAAATTGGCAACTGCTGTGTGTGAATTTTGCAATTGTGAGAGGCTTTCCTTTATAGCCCTTGGGAAAGCTTGAGATAGTTACTGTTCCTCCATATGGAACTCTGGCAGGAATATCTAAAGCAACAGTTGTTATAACGTGGAAATTGTCTACGAATTGAGGCATAGGTTCAATGCAGTATAGTCGTTTTGACTGTTGTCTTTTGTGTAGAAATATAAATAGAATGACCTTTCACCATGTTCATTCAATTCTTCCAAATAATTGTATGAATTTGGATATAAACGGACAAATTCAGCAACTTTAACTTCTTGTAAATGCTTCTGCAAGTTCTTTGGAAACAAGTGAATGAACTGGTCAATAGCTTGCAACGCTATGAGATTGGCAGTAACGGGTAAATATGAAGCAAACATGTCAACAAGTACGCCAGGGTCTTTTATTTCGTTTTCAAGAGGCTGAATGGCATCCATGACAGCTTGAAACATCTCGTTATAATCTCGATTGTCTTCTGAACCCCACTGTTCATTTAACTTATCTAACAATTCGAACCTTTTCTGTGCGTATTTTCTACGAACTTTCTCTGAAAGAGGAGTGTCGCTATCTTGTGTGTCTTGAATTTGAGACTTAAATTGTTTGCAAAGGCGAGATATCGTGTTTGCGACCTAGTGGTCATTGCAGAATGTGTTTCTGTATGTTCGATTGGATGTGTTTCTGTATTTTCGGGTGGTTGTGTTTCTGTATTTTCGATTGGAGTCTGATTGGTATGAACTTCTTCTGAAAATGCTTCTGTTCCGATAGTTGTTGTTGCCTGACCTGTTGGCTGAGCTGTTTCTTTGTGCAAATGCATATTGTCCACAATTTGTCTTGAATTGTATGAGGAACTTGCTTTGGTATTATAGGAGGTCGTAAGGGTTTTGAGAATGGTGAGACATAAGTTGTAGGAACTTTAACTGCAGAGGTAGTCGACAAATTGTTTGCGACACTTTTTCTTCCTTCCATTATGAAAAATAAACTGTTTTTTCGGACTACTCATAGAAAAGTTTAAAATAAACCGTTTTCGTCAACGGTAACCCCCTCTATTTTTTTATTTTATTTAATAGTTACCGTTGGCAAACCGTTCCATCTCAAATATTGAATGAACTATAAACGTTTTTTGTTTTCTATATATACTTTTTTGTCCAACGGTAAAACTTTTTACACAGGATGGTTTACACGTCACTTGTCTTTTTTAGAGCATACAATAGTATAACTTTGTCCGGACAAGTAAGGGTCTATCGTCGCTACAGGAAAAGTTACGGGCGTTCCAAGGAAGTATACTTTGAGAAGACTTTCCCCCTTATAGAATGAGATAGGACGGTTATTTTACAAAACTGACAACACTTTGACCGAGTAGTTTTTTGTGCTGAACAAAAAGTGTCATATAAACATCTGTCGAAAACCGCTTTTTAACTTCACTTAAAATGCCACGTAAGCTACGTAAGAATATACGTAAGAGGAAGGAGCATTGAAACATCCAATAGTAAAACTGACACCACAACAACAGTTGCAACAACAAATGCTGAATGACCCCACTATGTTGCAACAAATGTCAAGCAATCCTATGCTTTTAAACCGAGTTGTTGGTGCACAGAGTGGAGGTTTAAGAGCGGCACTTTTAGCGAAAATGGCAGGCTATGGTGGAGCTGCAGACGGAACAGCTTATAACCCTCAAAGTCAAATGAATTTGAGTTCACTCAAAAATCAAATAACAGATGTCAAAAAGTCAAACATAGACATACAGAAACAAATAAGTGAAAACGAAAAGAAACTAGAATATGACAGACACACAAAGAAACTCAATGAGTTAAACGTAGAGAAAAAGAAGAAAGAAGAACAACTGAAAGAACTAAGTACAGAGGAATATGCGAAAAAAGTGTCAGAAAAAGCAGCAGAAGTAGCAAAAATGGAACAAGATGTTATAAATTTGAAAAACCATACTACTCAATATAAAGTACTGAAAGATGAAGAGATAAAACAAAAAGCCCTGAAGACATATATGGATAGCGATGAGTATAAAAAAGAAGTTGAAGCAAATGTAAAGGCAGAAAAACTTTTACAGTTGCAAAACCAAACCGTACAGTATGAAAACTTAGCACAAGAAAGTAAAAATAACGACGCAGCCATGCAAAGGCAATGAAAAGCGCAGAATATATAAAAGCTAACAATGACTGGTTAGATGCCCAAGCCAACGCTAAAGCAGCCCAACTTCATAGGGTCAATAAGGACAAAAATACAAGCGGATGAAGACAGTTCAAATGAAGCTTTAACAAATGCTGACTTTAAGAACGCCTTCGAAGCTCTTCATAGTAAGGTGAAACAAGTGAACGACTTCTCATCTGGAAAGAAACTGAAGTCTGAAGGTTTCGACAAAGAGTTAAAGAAGTAGCACAAAATATGACGAAAATAACAGATGCAGCAACGAGACAGGCAGTTCAAAGTGCCTATGACGCCGTTAGAGCAACTGTTTGGAAAGTCAAGAAAAAGAGTTACAACAGACCAAAACAGACCTAGTAAATGCTTTCTTAAAACGAAAAGTCAGGTAGGACATTACGCTGCAGATGGAACATATGTGCCAGCTGGTGGAACTTATATACCACCAAACCCTCCAAGAGAAGCACCTGCACCAGGACTACCTAACACATTTACATCGTCACATGGACATAGACACAGGCATGCACCAAAACCAACACAACAACCAACAGTTCAAAACCCTGCACAACAACAACAACAACAACCAACACAACAACCAACAGTTCAAAATCCAGCACAACCAACAGTTCAAAACCCTGCACAACAACAACCACAAACAGAGCAAGGACATAAAAGAAGTAGAGAACAAGGAAACCAAGAATTCTTAAAAATGCTTAAAGAAGAGTGTGGTTTCCCAGATAGTATTGACTTTAGTGACAGATATAAAGAAGCTATTGGAAAGTTCAAGGAGGAAATACTGACCCGAACCTATTTAGCTTTATGGCTCAGCACCAAAACGGATATAATCTCAAACCTGGAAAATACAAGCTCGCTAAGGGATATGATTTAATAGCATATCATCCAAATGACATGGATGAATTTACTCCGAGATTTTGATGTCAGAGCTAAATGACAATTCAACTTCGTCATGAAACGCGTAAAAAATAGAGACGGAACGAAAGAACAAAGCTTATGAATGCGGATGACGTAGATAGGGAAATTGTTGAAAACGGTCTCGGAATATATGAAATGCCAGCAGATGAGGTACAAGAAACTCCACAGGAAGAACTAGTTCAGATACAACCAGCCATGGAAGAAATAGTTCAGCAACAACAGCTAGAAGAGCCTGAAGGAAACGAACAAGTCACTCCTTTGGAAACTAACTTCACAGAACTAGATGAAGATTTGGAACAGCCGAAAAATCTTGACCCTCAACAAGAGTATGCGGAGAATATGGAATATTTCCAAGAGTCTAAAAAAAATTCGGCTGACATAGTAGAAGAATATCGAAAAATGTTTGCCGACATACAAAAGACTCCAACACCAGATGAAAATATTCAGCATAGAATGGAAGCACTGAAAGAAAATGTACACAAATACAACAACCCTTTTTACTTACGAGCATTTAACGTTCAATCTTCGGATGAACTCGGTGAAGATAAAAGGTTAAATTTCAAGAAAACATATAGAAATGAAACATTGTTTAAAGTTCATTCAGAACCTAACCAAGATGGAAACAAACCTACTTTTGTTTCTGCAGACGATGGAACTACAATGAGATGGGGTCATAAAGCTAATCCGGATAGGTGGTTCATAAACTTACAACCTCAATTCCAAGAAGTTGTAGACGCAATGGAAGTCAATGGTGAACGAGACATAGCTGGTATTTTAAGCGCGGCTTTAATGCCATTGAAAGATATGAAAGATGCAGATATTTTGGACCAGTATGAAATGAACATGGCTGATGGAAATATAACACCTGACGTTCTAGAACATTTATCTCAAAGAACTACACAGAACCATAGAGATGGTATATTTGGTGAAGAGTTTAGAAAGAAAGTTAGGGAGGGAGAAGGAAGAGAACCTATTGTACATGACCTTGCAAACGAAAGTTTACAAAATGTCATAAAAACTTACTTTGCAGACAATGAACCGAGAAGGGATGAATATTTAAGAAAACTCAAATGGACAGTACCAAATGAAATGTTAGTATTGAAAAACATGTTCCTTGACAAAATAAAACCAACTCCAGAAATAAATGACGAAAGACTGAAAGATTGGGTAAAAGCTTTCCCATTCACAAAAGATATTGTTGGTAACATGGAAAGAAAACCAGAATGGCTACAAAAACATATATTTGGAAACGAGCTTATTCCATATGGACAAGCTCTGTTTGAAGAGCTTGAACCGGAAACTCAGGAAAGAGTCATGCAAACAATACGCGAAGACTCAAATACAGACTATGACAAACTCTTTCTAGGATATAGGTTACCTGAGATGGGCGACCAGAGCCAAAAGGCAAAAAGGACATGGGAAATTTGCAACATACTAGATGAACATAATGCAAAGATGCAACAACTTCAAGCAGAGGGCAATGAAGGAAAAAGAAGAGTTAAAAACTCAGTCAGGAAGAAAGTAAAGCTTGGTCCACGTGGGTTCTATTATGACATATAAATCCAACTATTCTATATTTTTACTCATATGAAATGTACGCCGCTCAGAATATAACGCCAACAGTTTTGGATGCTATGAATGGAAATGTTTCCGAATGGTATAACGAATGCGACAATGCCATTAGAAGGTCAGAAATAGTTCCTGGAACTTACGAATATACAACTGCTGTTTCTTATGGAAACGTAGGTGAGTTTGGAGAAGGTTCTTCAACAACAGTAGATATTGCTTGCGACAGGTTTCATATAATTTCTATTGACAACTCTTTCTTATACGTGGAACAAGACATTGAAATAAAACCTTCTGCCAAGTTGTCTGACAAGAAAGGTTGCAATGGAATTTTCTATGTCGGATACCAATATGCTCCAGAAGTTTTCATGGGATATAAGATATATTCTAACTCTGACTTAGTTCAAACAGTAACATGGGCAAACTATGAATGGTTCGCTTTGAGAAACTCAGTACAACCACAAGCTAGAGAACAAACAGACCAGTATGCAACTATTGAGAAAATAAGAAGACTTGACCCTAACGTTCCAGGAGTTTATGTTAACCTTTCTGGAAAATGCAGCAGCAGTAACCAAAGTAAAATTGAAACTTAGAGTTCCTTTGTCATCTTTCCTCATCTTCAGGTTTTTAAGATACTTGCCAAACTGGGCAGGAAAAATTTCTATCGAACTTACTCCAAGCAAAAATAACTTAGTCATTGCACCAACACAAGACCCATTCACTCTTACAGAAGTAGTGGGAACAAATAAAATGTCATTCGCCGACTTTTGCAAAAACAAAGTTGACTTAGACTTTGGTTTCTCAAACCTCAACACTGAAGTAAACTATTATTTCAATGCTGCTGGAGATGCTTGGGACCCAGTTAAGTTCACATGCGAAAAATTTGAATGCAAGAGAATAGAAAGCAGACTTGCAGTCTATATGTTGGACCCAGATATTTCAAATGCTTTAGCTGCCAAATATATTGCAGTTCCACTTATGTTCCCTATACACCAAATATCTGTCAAAGACTTTGCAGGTGAAGTTGGAAACCAAAGTGCTGACCCAGGTGCAAGAACAGATATTGCCTTAACAACTGCAATGAAACATGCAGATACTATGTTTGTACTGTTCAGACGAACTATAAATGACTATTCTTTTTCTACAACCCCTGGTATTAAATATCATATAAACATAGATGGCAAATATTATCCAAGAGAAGAATATTCTACAGTTGAGGATATGAGGTCATACAACTTGACATTAGATGCTATGAACTTTAACAACAACTTCACAACAACCATTAACCCTGAAATGCAAAGTTCTATTATGCCATATGTGAAAGTATGGACCTCATACAGGAGGTCAAAAAACTCAATATACAAATGGAGACCGTTCAAACTTTTGGCTTGGCATTCCATTTGCTGACTCAGAAGACTTTATGGGTGGTATTTCAACTGTTGGTACAGTTCAAATACAATATACTGGTGACAGAGACGGTCCAATGAATTGAAAGCAAAGAAGTTTACAAAACCAATAGCACTTTTCACGGAAGATGCTCTTTTGAAGATTCGTTCGATGAAACCTGCTGGGGCTCCTCAGATTGGCATAACGACAGCTTCCATCGAGCAGATTTTGGCAGCAGGTCAGTAAGTTGTTCTTGAACTGACTTCTCTCCGTCAAATATTGACAGTACGCCAGTTTTGACATAAAATTGTATTATAAACTTACCTTTAGAAATATCGGTCAGTTGTTGTTATATTTTTGTCTGCTTCAAGAACTTTCACCATCTCAGTTATACCAACTTTCTTTGCTTTATGAAAATATTTGGTTCAGCAAAGACTGCTATTCTATAACATTTTCCATTGTTTGTTAAAGAACTATTCTGTCAATGAACTTGTATTGTTTGTGTGTGTAAACTTTGTTTTGCTTCAATTCGAAGAGATACTCAAATACGTCCATCTTTTTATTCTAAGTAAAATGTCATTTCCGAAAAATAGAAGCGTAAGTGTTTCAAAAGGTTTAATGGCGGTGGCAGATGTGAAGTTAAATTCACCAACTCAAACAAACAGTCAAAGTGTTGTTGTCAATGTCAAAGAAAGAGATGTTGAAGTGGGGAAACCATACGAAGACGAAGATGGTATAACAATGTTCCTGTAAAAGAACAACCAACATACCCTGAAGTTAGCAGAGACTTAAGTTCTGTTGCAGATATTCGAAACGACTACCAACAACTTAAAGACAAACTTAAAACTCAGGAGAAGATTTGTCAAGCTTTAGGTATAATGTTAAACTTGGTCGAACACAACCCTGTAAAAGTGAACTCATATGTCATGCACCTCATGAAGTTTTGAAAGAACTATTGAAACTTTTGACAGAGGCAGACGATATAAACATCAAAGAAATAGAACCCGACATTGCTTGCTGTGGTGTTTCATATAATGTCATTGACAAGATATACGTTATGAAAGGAGGTGAAACGTTGAACTTAAAATATAGTTTCCCAGACGTTATAAAAATATTTGACGACCACAACATTTCATTAAAGTTTATTTGCTAAGTAAATGGCAGAAGATATATGGTTTATACTATTACGACTAAAAACCCTGAGTCATATAATTCTATAACAACAAACTTACAAAGTCCTCAAGGACAGTATTGTAAACTAACTTTAAACACAATGACGACTAAAGCCTGTTTTGCTCTTTTGACACCAGAAGACTTTATTGTTGTGAATGGTAAAAAATACTCCTTTGAAGATACTTACTCAGATATACCACCAACAGGTTTTGTTGACTTATTTAATACTTTAAGTACGGGTGTAACATGTGCTGCAACTAGAGCAGGTTTCATTATGTTTGGATGTCCGACTGAGTTTACTATAAACAATATGAGCTATAATACAAAACTTATTTCTGGTTTTTACTACCAACAGTTTCCTATAACAGGAAAAGGTGTCATACAAGGAATGTCTATTCCATTGACTTTAAGCACACCAATCTTATATATTGTTTCAAACTTAGGTTCAAAGTGTTATTCGAATGTCGACAGAAACTATTATGACCAAAAGATACTTATGCGTATAAACAATACTTTCTCTGCTGGTTTGCCTATTGTTCATTCGAATGCAGAATTTTCAGCTTTAGTAAACTCAAACACTTTAGCAAACATAAACTTAACCTTAGTTGACGCAAACTTTGTTCCTGTAAAACTTTTATGTCCTATGTATTTGTCAATGACGGCAGAAAGTTTCGAATTGGAAGATGCAACTGGTGAAAGTATTGTATTACAAGAACAACTTCAACAACAAATAGCTCAAGAACAACAAATGCAACAAATGGAACAACAAAGTCAAGAATAAAAAAATATTATTTTTTTATTTTTATAAAAATGTACAGAATAGATGTTTCAGATTTTTATGACTTCCAAGCATTCAGAAATATGTGTCCATTTAGAGACTATAACAAAGCAGTCGAGAATTTGAAACGTTTAGTCATTTATGTCGACTCTGCCCCAGAATGTTATGTCATGAAAGAATGGGATGTTGTCTTTAACAAACCAAGAGCAACAATAGTTTCAGAACAAGAATGTAGACAGAAACTTAAGAAAATAAAAGTCGTACAAGTTGGTGAAGATGTTAGATGCTTGGGATATCTTATTGTCAAAGTTAGAAGATTTTTCAGTTCGAGGTATAAAGTTCTATACACCTTCTCCAAACTTCTATTCTATCTTCACTGGATATAAATATGAACAAGTAGAATGGAAAGAAAATATTATAGAAGCTTGGTTAGACCATGTCAAAGAAATTATATGCAATGGAAACGAAAAGTCTATGAGTATATCTTATGTTGGTTTGCAAACATCTTACAACATCCAAGTGCTAAAAATGAAACTGCTCTCATTATAATTGGAAAACAAGGAACAGGTAAGAATACTTTCTTTACAGATATTTTGTGCAAACTGTTAGAGGGCTATTCGAATCCGAATATGACAAACTTAGAAAACATCTGTGGCAAGTTTAACTCCTCAATCGAGAATATGAAACTTATAGTTTGCAATGAACTTCAAAGTATAGATACAACAAAAGTTTTGAACTCAGATGCTTTGAAGAGTCTTATAACAGACAAAGTTGGAGTTGTTGAAAGAAAGTATAAAGACCAAAGAGTTTGTGAAAATGTTGCAAACTTCATTATGGTTTCAAACAATGCTGTTCCGATGAAGTTAGAAAGTTCTGACAGAAGATATGTAGTTGTCAGAACGTCAGATTCTCATATGCAAGATACAGAATATTTTGACGACTTAGCAGAAACTTTGACATCTGACTTTTACAACCACTTGTTCTCATATTTCATGACATTAGATATTTCTAAGTTCAATCCAAGACAAATTCCATATACCGAAGAGAGACAAACATTGTTAGAAGCAAACAAGAGTGTATATGAACTGTTTATA